CTTATTTACATATCCATGCCCCCATTCCCTCACCCTCCCATCCTCCCATGCTTCCCACTGGCCCCCGACTCACTCCCCAGGGATAGTGAGACCCTCCACGGGGGATCATCAAAGTCCATCACATAATTTGGGGGAGGGTCCAAGCCCTCCTTTCTGTATCTGGGTTCCAATAGTATTCCTCCATAGGGAATGGGCTCCCAAAGTCCATTTGTGACCTAGGAATAAACTCTGACTCCACTGTGAGAGGTTCCATAGACTTCCCACGCCTCCTAGCTGGCACCCACATTCAGAGGGATTTGTTAGATCCAATGCTGTCTGCCTTGCTTTACAACTAGGATCTCCATGCTCTCATTAGGTCAGGTCAACTGTTTCTGCAGGTATCTCCAGTTCTGTGTTGGTTCATTTGACCATCTCTCCTCCCTCTCCACAACTGGATTCCGGGAGTGTGGCTCAGTGCTCATCTGTGAATGCCTTCTTCTGCTTCCATCAGCTGTGTCAAGGCTCTAGGAATGGTAACCAAGGTAGTCATCAATCTCATCAAAGGGGAAGGGCATCAAAGGCTTCATTTCTCCATAAGACTAGTAGCAGTTTTCCCCAACTTATGAGATCCTGTGTCTTCATCCCCAACCTTCCTATGAAAACCCTTCTTCTTTAAGAGTTCTCCAACATCCACCAACACCAACAACCCCCACTTCTCATTTCCAAACACTAGCAATGGGGCCAGGAAGGTGGCTCAGTGGGCAAAGCGTTTGTGTTGCAAGCATGAAAACCACAGTTTGGTCACCAGAACCCACACAAACACCCTGGGCACAGTGACATTTGCCTGCAATCCCAACACTGGGGGATGCAGAACAGGAGGATCCCTAGGACTCACTGGTCAGCCAGTCTAGCTGACCTGGTGAGTTTCCAGCCAGTGTATAGCCTTCCTGAGGACAGCACAGAAGGTTGTCCTCTGGCCTCCATCCATATACATGCATATGCAGAGGCTTGTGGACCAGAACCTAAGCAGGAACACATACATATGTAAGGAAATACACTGGCCTCTCCCTTGTGTCTTTCTTTCCTCAATCCCATCACTGTGTCAGCAAATCTCATCAGTGCTACCTCCAAAGCCATCACCCATCCAGCCTCCCTTCTTCACCTCCTGCGACTACCAAATCCCCACCTCCCCCCTCCCTCTCCTCCTACCATCTCTCCCTCCATCCCTCAGTCCCCTCCTTCCCTGCCCTCTCTCTCTCTCCCTCCTTGTCACATCCTTGTCCTCCTCATTCTATTCCTCCATGGTCAGCTAGATTAATTTTCATAAAGTGCTAATTCTGCCATGGTACTTTCCCCTATTTTTCCCCATAACATTCAGAATAAGATCTAAAACTACAGTTATTACCCATAAATCCCGTGTGGCCTGGCTCAGGGCTTCTCGTTAGCCTCATCTCACGCCACTTCCCATCTCAGCCACTCTTAACCACAATGGCTTCTCTCCGTCCCTCAAATATTCTTAAACTCTGCTTCAAAGACCTTGTTTCCCCCGTGTGCACCGTGCAATCCCCAGTCTCCATCTGGGTGGCTGCCCAGAGCCTGGGGTCTCCACTTAAATCCTGTTGCCAAAGAGCCTTTTCCAACCTTCTATTTCAGTGTCTCCCTCTGTAGCTCCTGTATTTCCTTCCAGAAACTTCCATAAATTCAGTTACCTTACTGATTTATTTACTGACTTTGCCCTGCTATACCTCTACACCTAGCATAGATCCTGGGGGGGGGGGAGGGCGTGGCGCAGAACAGATAACAACAAATAGATGATACATAGACAGACAGACAGACAGATAGATACAGAGTAGAGGCAATGGACAGCAGGTTCCACCTTCAATAAAACATGTATTAGAAACAAAAGACAAAAAGGAAGAAATTCCACTGCTTCTAAAGAAGAAAAGCTGTTAGGATTGCAGGAGTCATTTTCTGATTACATTGAGGGGAGTGGTAATAAACATGTTTACTTCTCAGAGAGATAGAAATCTGGCTACATCCTCTTAGTTACTGGACTTGGGGCCTTTTGAAAATTATTATTTTCTCATCAATGTTTTATGAGTATAAAACTGCATGTCAGTGTATGTTCTCTGCTAGAGTATCCCAGCTCCCCTGAAGCACCTGGATGACTCCATTCCTCTTGACAAGGCCTGGCTTAATTGAGTCCTGTGGGCTCAGATACATTTGCATATGTGTCTAATAAGGTAGATTGCCAATGCCTCGCTGCAAGTTTGTAAACAAGGATCCCAAGGTATGTGGAGCACTTTCGGAATGGGCCACTGGAGAAATGCATAATCACTTATTTATTGAGTGTAGATTTCCTTAATGTGCCAAAATATGCCTCAGGGTTGTCAGTTCAAATGCCACAGCTGGCTAGAAATGTTGCGGAATCCAATGAGTGGACATGGGGCAGATGTTTTTCTAAGCTTAACTATTTTGTTTTTCTTTGAAAAAAAAAATGCTTAGTTTCCCACCACTGGTATATACAGGATTTGCTTAACTTGAGTCTTGAGGGGAACAAGAGACACATCAGAAGAGAGCACGTCGGGAGCCACAGTGTCAGAAACCAAGTTCAAACCCATAAGAGGAAACTGGGACAATTTTCCACATCAGGATGCAGGGAGAAAGTGTCAGGTTTCTGTCCATTATCAGTGTGTGCAGTTCTCAGAGACCAATGAGGACAGAAAGGGACATCCAGGAGTCTGTCATTTACAAATCCCACTAACCGCAGCTGGCATGATAGTGCTCAAACTTAGTTTCTTTGGTTTGGGCAGAAAGAAAAATTAAATCCAAAAGATAAATTATCACTTAGTACTACTAGAGATGGGCTAACCAAAGAAAAGTTGTGTCCTTTCTTCTGAACCTTGGATCAATTACCAGACATCCTGACTCAATCCTAAAAAACCTTAAACTAATCTCAGGCTAGCCTGTCCCCCGCCCCATAACACCCTTAACCAGACAAACTGGTTCATTCAATCCCAGGACACCTTGACCGAATTCTAGGATAGCCTATCCAACCTAGGACACCTTTAGCCAGTGCTAAGATATTCTGACTCAACCCCAGGGCACTCTTAACCAATCCCAGACATAATCTTCTCAGATAGAAATGTGTTCCTTTGGTGTTCACATGTGGAATTTGGGTTGCTCAAAAAGGTATAATGCAAGTCAGGCCTGATGCTACAAGCCCATAGTCACAGCTACTCGGGAAACTGAAGGAGGATGATTTCAAGTGCAATTGGCTGTGTAAGTTAACAAGACCCCATCTCAAAAGTGAAAATAGTGATTTTTTAAAGCTAGTTGGGATTGGAAATGTGGCTCCATTAGTAGAATGCTTGCCTAGTACACACACACACAGACACAGACACACACTCACACACACACACACACATACACACACACAGACACACACACAGACACACACACATACATACACACACACACACACACACACACACACAAGCACACCTCAACACCCCCTCCCCTGAGGATACTTTCAATCACTTTTTTTGTTTCTCTACCATCACCCACCCAAGATGCTCCCATCTGTCCATCAAATACAGATTGTCTACCTCATGCCAAGTACAGCACTATGTGACAGACAAGCAACTGTGCTCAAAGTAGGCATAAACCAGGACCTCATGGCACCGATAATCTCATAAATGGGTGGACATGTGACTGAGCATTAGGGTGTGGCTGGCTATTATAAAAGTGAATTTACTCACCAGCCATTAGTGACCAGAGGAAAAATGGGGGGTCTGCACCTGGAGGCAGGAATGGGTGGTGTCATGCACAATACACAAAGGAAGCAATAGGTATTCCCAGGAGAATGAGGACGGGTAGAGTTGGCAGAAAAAGGAAACTGCTGCATTCAGGATGGAGGGAGAAACTTGGGCCAAGTCACAAAGGCTTGAGAGTCTAAAACATCACTACACAAGGAGTTACAGCAAGGACAGAGATGTGAGCAGACCTGGATCAGGAAGAGCAGTGGGACTCTTGCCTAGTGAGGTGATGGGTGACTGGGATTCCCTGAAGACCCATGGCTGACGATCCTAAAAGATACAAGATGATTTAATGTGGAAGAAGAAGTCCACAGCTGACAGCCTCAGTCCACAAGAATGAAACAAGCCCATGTGTTAGCTTTCTGCGGGTGTGACAAAATTCCGGAGGAGATCATCGTAAAGGAGGGAGATCTCTGTGTTGGGTCAGTCAGCTCCATCGTCTCTGAGCCTGAGTGTTGGAGTGTCAACGTGTCACAGCTGAGATAGTCATCACGGTGAGGAGCAGAGCAGAGTGCAAACCTGCTCATCTTATCATCAGGATGCAAGAGAAGGGAAGAGAAATATCACCAGTTAGGGATCTTCTGCATGAGGGTTTTGAGGGGAGCAACCCAGATCAAAATATTGGTCCTATCTGAACATGAAATATCTCCCCATAGAAGTCATGGGTTTAAATGCTTTGTCACCATGTGGCAGCTGTTTGAGAAGACTGTGGAACCTTTAGCAGATGGAGCCTCGATGGAGGAAGTCCCTGCCTGGATTCCTATTCATTTCCTGCTTCCTGATGACTGATGCAACCTGCTAACCTCCCATGCCTGCCATCATGGCTTCCCTATTGTAATGGACTGTCTCCTCTCGACTGTGAGCCAATAAATCCTTCACCTACTTTGCTTCCCCTCAGGTATCTGGTCACAGCAATAAGAAAAGAAGCTGAAAAGTTGCAATGGCGGGCATCACCACTCCTCAGGACACTGTGTTTGCCCTCTCCCAGCAATGCCTTCTTCAAGCATCAGCTAACATTACCAATTTCTTTTCTGTCCTCATTAAATCACTCACTCTCATGGCATTGGGAGGTGGGCGTGTGTGTGTGGGGTTTCCAGTCCAATCTCTTCCTCACTTAGTCACATACTGGGTGAGTCATTTGTAGGTCACTGGATCATTCTGAACACACTTTACGGTGGACTTTATATTTTTCTCCACATTTAGGGTTCCCCATGAGAGGAAAAAGGAGAACAGAAAGCATGAAGACCTTCCAGAAGGCCACCACTCACCCCATGGTCAGACGCTTCAGAACACGGAGGATGTGTGGAGTGCTGGGACCAAAACTAAGGAGGCAGGAGAAGATGGAGCTGCAGAGGAAGGACCTTTCCTCAGCAAGATAGAGCTACGAAAAGATATGAAAGGTGGGAGCAGCCCAGCCCTGGTGTTCTCATGGGTATAGGGGGTTTATAAACCAAGACTCTGGAGCTGGGGGCCCTGCCCATGACAGGGACAAAGCTAGCGTCACAAGACAAGACCAGTACATATATGGTGTATTAGCATATTAATATATAATATATGTAGTATATATATAGTATAGTTATATATAATATATATAGTTATATATACTATATATAGTTACAATAGTAAGTCTGCTAAGCTACCACCATCCATGGTGAAACTTTTGGCTCAAAAATTCTATCCCGTATTACTTGCCTTTTTTCATTGTTCTAACAAAATGTCTGAGAAGAAAAGCATAGGAATGCAAAGGTTTATTTTAATATATTTGTCTTTTAAAATGCTTTTATTCTTTGTATAACTCATATCAATATTCGCCATATCCACACAAACTCCTCTCCCTAACTCTTCCCAGATCTATCTCTTCCAAATTTGTGCCCTCTTTTAAAAAAATAATCCACAGAGTCCAATCTGTGCAGTCTATATACCCTTGTGCGTGTGGTCACACACCAGAGCATGGTCAGCCTTACCAGGAACCGCATCCCTAAAGAGAACTAGCTTTCCCAGCAACCATCAACGGCTCCTCAGCGAGAGGTGGTACTTTGTTCCCACCTCCCCATTCCATGCTGGGATTTTTAATCTGTTTTGCACATGCACACTTCTTGTGAATGCTGTCACAAGTGCTGTGAGTCCATGTATGAAACGGCCCTGCTGTGTCTGGGAAACACTATTTCAGTTGAGTCATCCGATGCCTGTCACTCTTACAACATCCTTGTCCTCCCTTTCACTATCATCCTTGAGTCTTGGGGGAAGGGTGTAATATAGATGTCCCATTTAGGTCTAAGCACTTCAAACTGTGGGCATCGACTGGGTATGGGTCTCTGTGTTAATCACCATCTACTATTACTAAAAAAAAGCCTTCTCTGATGAGGGTTGACAGATGCAGCATAGTGATAAGTCATTAGGAGTTGGTTTAATTATGTCCATTTAGTAAAATAATAGTAGTGTGTTCTCTTTTAGGGCCCATTACTTGTATAGACACAGGATTTTTGACCTGATAATGGTGCCTGGGTGTGTGGGAACTTAAACCCAGTCATGAAGTGGCTGGTTACTGCAGTGATATTCATTCCACTATTACACCAGTGGACATGTCCTGACAGACCAGTTATTATAGCTCACAGGGGTCACAGCGTGGTAAGACAGGATCTGACAGGAGTGTGTGCAACTTAGGCTTTGGGGATATGTTGGCTTTGGCCAGGGGTCCACAACTCTTTGTCCCTTTGCTTTTGCATGTATAGAATTGGCTTCCCCCATGCTAAGTGCAGTTTCTAAAGCTAGTGAGGTTCACAGCTGAACCCCAGAAATATTCCCATAAAGAGAATAGCTACCAGCCAATGAGGGTTCTCTTCAAGAGGGCAGATCAAGTCTAGCTTAGTGCCAACAGTAGAGCCATGGAAATGGTATTGTAACTGGTATGCATAATGGCAGCCAAGGCAAGCACTCTAGCCACTAAAGTGCCAAGTAACCTACACCCCAGTTCTTCTAACAGATTCTCCTTCCTCCTCCTTTTTGCCCCTTCCTTCTGGGGGATCCCCTGTTATCTATCTAAAGAATTACTTTAGTGCCACAGACAAGGACTTCCTACCCTGGTGTTATCCACACTGCCTGAGCTGAGAGAGCTTGAGATAGGCAAGCTGTCTTTACATTATCATGTGTTCCTCCAGCTAAAGGAATCAAACTCTTAGGATATGCATAATGGATCTGCTAAGTGGACCTCAATGGCAGAGGGACAAACCAGGAGGTGTTTTTAAGGTCGATAGCTGCCTATGACCCTCATTTGCAATCTGAAAGACTGAGGTCTCCTGGTCAGGAACATGAAGCTAATGGCGCTAAAGAGATTGACGAAATCCATTTGCCAAATTCTCCCAATGACCTCCGGGGCCCCAGCCACACAGAGTGCAAGACAAGTTCACTTTATGCAGACAGCTGCATACTTTTTGAAATCTTACAGTTTTGGTCCCCAGAGAAAAAAGTCCTCATTGCAGTGACATTCCAGTCCATGAGAGCTATGGTCACATGACCCTGATAAGAAGGAACTTAGAAAGGGGATCTCTTGCAAGGCCGGCTGTACTTCCTGGTCCTCAAGGAGAACAGTGGGGGAAGCAAGGAGGAGAGATGGCCGACATTCAACAAAGGAGGAAGGAAAAGGAGGGGAGTCCCTTTTCCTTGGGAAAAAAACTGTGGCTTTAAAGCAGAGAAAATGAGATTATCAGGACTTCCAAGGTGAAGCTCACATCGAAGGTTCCCCCTCTCCTGTTAGTCACCTCCCCAGGGTCCCTGGTGAGCCCCAGCTTTCCCAGACATCACATGTCCATACTGATTCTCTTCCAGCTTTCCTGCCCTCCCCAGTAGTTTGGAGTCCAAGGTCCCTCTAGCTTCCTCGCCTCTTACTATAGGCATCATGAAGCCATCAGCCGAGTGACAGGAACTTCACAGTCTCAAATGGAAGCCACATTCTGTCTTTTACTCAACAAATGCTTGCTTAGCATCAGGCACTGTTCCAAGGACAGAGAACATTCTGGAGACTAAAACCAAGAAAAAATGGCCAAAGACATGGAAAGAATGTATTATTCGGTCTCCTAGCCATCCCTGTCTCTTCAGAGAACAGTTCTGTGGGAGGGGGATCTGAGTATCCTTCCCATCCACGGGTGGTCCCATCTGGGCCAAGTAACTCTTCTCAGGCAGTTGGTACTCCCTCCCTCCAAAAGCAGTGTTTGGGGAGCGTTTATCCTTGAGCCCGAGTTCAGAATCGAGCTGCTGTGCCCCTTTCAAGGCTGTGTGTGTGTGTGTGTGTGTGTGTGTGTGTGTCTTGTTTTCCTTCCACATGAAAGTGACTAGACTTTTCTTCCAGCTGGGGGTGTCCTCCCACTTCTGACCCTTAATGCTCAGGAAATTACAAAGCCAGTTTCCAATGGATGCTTTTGCCAGAGCCAGGCAGGTTTCCATGTCTGCCAACTCACTCTCCCTTCATCCTGTAAGCCTGACATAGCATGAAAGAGGAGAAGTGGGAGCTTTTAGGGCTGATGAGGCAGAAGCAAGATTGACCTTCCTTACCTGGTAAGGCACCTAGAGAAATGTTAGTATTTCAAATGGAATTGGGATGTGTGTGTGTGTGTGTGTGTGTGTGTGTGTGTGAGAGAGAGAGAGAGACAGAGACAGAGACAGAGATAGAGACAGAAACAGAGAGACAGAGAGACATAGAGACAGAGACAGAGAGATAGAGAGACAGAGAGAGACAGAGAGAAAGAGGAGAGTCAGGCATGTTTGAAAAAGAAATGGGTTTGCTTAGAAATGCATGGTTTCCCACAGTCATTTTTGGAATCTAAGTGTAGACAAATGGCAGAAATGGCAGATTGTAGAGTCCTCGGTCTTCTTCATCCAAGAGTTGTGTATTGGATGCAACTGAAACCACAATCTTTGCTTATAATCTGTTTCTGCTGGAGGGTATCAAGGAAAACTTTGGAGACTGTAAATCAAAAGAGCCTGCTCCAATTCATCCAGACTTGGGGAAAACTCATCTTTCAGACCAATATTGCGTAATAGCACATCCTGTCCAAACATGCTCACTAATGCTGGGTGGTTTAGCAGAGCACGGCTGTTTTTCTAGAAGGAGCAGATCTCTGTAAAAGAAAGGACAGTGGATAGATACAAAATTCATCGAGAGTTAAAAACCCTCCACAAGCATGCTGTGTGGTGATGGGTAATTTACCTCTGACCTCCGGCACTTGTCTTCTGTGGTACAAGCTGGAGTTTGTCAGGTGCTAATTTCTGTTTCCTGACTGCCTGAGCTGTGAGGAGGGCTGACCACACATTCCTGAAGCCAAGACCTCCACCATGCCTTCCCTGCCATGGTAGACTGTACACTTAAAACTGTGAGCCAAAATAAGTCCTTCCCTTAAGTGCTGTTAGGTTCTATCACAGTGACAAGGCACGTAGCTAATACATTGTTTGGGGGGAAGATGCTGAGACAAGGTTTTTCCATAAATCCAAATGCCAACATACCTCTCAGAAGTTTCCATCATTGGCTCCATGTGCCATTAGAAAGGAACCAAATCAGGATATCCCACAACATAGGGGATTTTAAAACAACTAAATGTTGCCAACTGGGTCCATCCTTTTTCAAGACAGTTGGTCCCTACTCACATCATCATGGCCCTAAGTGGCAGATGAAGATTGATTTCCCTCAGCCATCTTTACCGTACTCCACAAATGAGCCACATTGGCTCAGGTGCCTCCGGCAGTCCAACCCTGGAGCTGAATTCAGAGACTCTGCTGTGGCTGGACTTGAAGACAATGGCCCATTTCCTCCTTGTCCCAGCTCCTGTATCTCTTGATTTAGGATATAGTTTTGCTGATAGACAGGCTGTTAATGTCTAAACCCTGTATGTTTTTACATTTCAGTGCTCGAACACAAAAAGCAACTCATTCTTGGGTTTGTTGTGGCTCTGATAGAGCCGTATCCGTTAGGCTTGTTACTCAGTTAGATTCTCTTTGGGCCACACTCACACTCCATCCCACACTGTATTGAGAGTCTTTACTGAGAAAAAGGAGTGCTTGTCTCTTTCTTACATCCATTAGAGCTCTAGGGAGGGTTTATTCAACTATCATAATGATGTTGAATTATTAAATACAGTTTATCATTCCTAAAATTCTTTAAAAACAACCTGTCACAAACAGAAAAGGAAACATTTTCCCAACTTTGACAAGGTAGCTGGAAGAACATATACAAGGCTGGCAGGCACCGCCATGTTGCCATCAGACACCCAGATTTTCTACAGCCATTTTAGTGTGACATCCACAAGATGGCTGGTCATCCCTCAGGTACATCAGATATACATACCAGGCAGGAAAAGGACAGATGGACCCTGGAAAACAAAACAGGACCATTATAGTATCCTAGAAAATG